AACGTTTGTGTAGGTTGTCGATCGAAGAAGAGTATTTTTAATTTTATTGTTGCATAAACACGCGAGATATAATTATTTCATATTTTATGCGTTCGAGTATCGTTCCATCGTTATAAAATTTGGTGGCTCTGAGAAGGGCCGATTTTTGTGTGGAAGCAGTTGAGGTCGGTAGTCAATAATCAATCCAATATCCGGCATGGTCGATAACTTGATTGAATTGATTAGGTATCGAATCAATCAAGTTCGCGAGAAAGTCGGGTCGAAGCCGAAGTTCTTCCCAGACTTCTCTCGCATGATCGACTAACGCTGCTACCGTCCTTTCCCTTCTTGGTTCCCAGTGTTGAACCATTTGTGCCCAAACATTTTCGATCAAATTTAGATCTGGCGAACGAGCAGGCCACTTGATTAAGTGGATCTCGGGATGATTCCGAAACCATGCTTGTGTTTCGCGTGATGTATGGACAGCGGAATTATCCTGCACTAATCGGATAATTGGTACTTCCTCCACGGGATATATTGTTCGCACTGATGGAAGAAGAACTTCTTCCATTATGCGAATGTATTCCGCGGAGTTCATCCTTGTAGGGATGTCGACCAATTCAGCGATAGCGTTACCGGAAATCCAGCCCCACATTGCACACGAAATCCTCCTACTTCTGTGAGTAGGCACAACATGATTCGGATGCAACCTTTGATCACTTAGTCGCCAAACGTGAAGTTGACGGTCGGCACACGATACGAAGACCTTTTCATCGGTCCAGATCGTGACCTCCCACTCTTCACGGCTCGTTGTCAGGTTTTCCAAAGAAAACGCGACACGTTGCTCCCGATGTTCAGGAGTCAACGGAATTTTATGGGCTGGACGATAACAACGATATCCAGCTTCGTTTAGTCGTCGTCTTGCGGTTCTGTCTGATACCTGTATGTCCGCAGCATGGAGAACTTCTGCAACAGTGCCAAAAGGTCGTTGCTGTACAGAAGCAATGACGTCCTCGTCTTGTTGCTGTGTTGTCCGTCGTGGTCGGCGATTTTCCTTGCGATGATCATGCAATGCATGATCACCGTTTGCAGTAAATTGCTGTATCCATCTGCGAACTGTCTTCGTAGGGAATATCAGCAGCAATATCTGCTATTGATCTCCCAGACTGCCACTGTCCAACTATGCGACCTCTCACTTCGGGACACAAATTTTTATACATGACTTTATGCGCACCTACAGAAAGTCAGGAAAGAGAACGGATCGCCTTTCGCGAGTTGTATTTATATGATTCAGAGAAAAGCGTCTGCTCAGTTTCCACAAATGAGCGTTCGTTTATGTTTATGTATTGCATCGCATTGGTTGCACGTTATGTTGAATATACAGGGTGACCATTTTAATTCCTTCAGTCGAATATGTCGAAAACCAAGCACGGGAAAGAAAAATGTTTCAGGCAAAAGCTGTAAGGCTTAAAAAAACGCATTCAACAATAGTAGTTATTTGACATAGGATGGCGTCGCCAAGGTCAGAACAAGGTCAACTTTGCTTTTTTAAATAGAAATACATATTTTTTATTACGGCATTTTATTCAACGTAAAAATGCAAATAACTTTTGCTTGAAAAAATTTTTTATACGACCTCTATTTTCTAAGATATTTACGTAAATATCTACAAGATTATTGGTTTCAATAATTTTTTACTTGAATTCTGTCAACTTTAGCTTAAAATATGAAGAGATAAAAA